CATTTACATTATTTCTCCATGTCTTTGAGCAATAGCATTTTCTATGTCTTGGAGGTCTTACCATTGTCCCTCTCCAAGTGTTCAAACAGTTTTGACAACTCCTTATTTTAGGATCCTATCATTGATTCCCCAAGTCTTCAAGATTATTTTGATAACCTTCTCTATGGATCAGAGGTCTTCGTATCATCCCTTCAAATGCTTAAAGTCTTTCAATAATGACCAGTTATCGTAAATGCTTAACGTCTTTCATAATGACTAATTATCGTTGATCCTCTCAACCTTTGAGGTTGTTTTGACAATTTCTTTCTGTATTGGGGGTCTTCACATCATCTCTCCAAGAGTTTGAAATGTTTTAGTACCTTTCTCCACTTGAAGGTCTTTTATATCATCTCTCAGGTGTTCAAGATGTTCTAGTAACATCCTCCAATTGATAAAACTTTATGTCATCCCTCAGTTGTTTAAGATATTTTAGTAACATCTTCCACTTAGAGGTTCTAGCGTCCTTAGGAATCTGTGTGGCTTCTTTGGGCCTTTCTTTTGCGTTATTACTCTCGTCAAAGTGGTTAAAGACTTAAAGTGTGTGCTTTCTTCCTCTTATGATGCAACGGCTAATGGCTTGCACTCTTTTCTCTGTGTGGTATTTTTGGCATCAATTTTGCAAGCCTTATGACATCAGGGACCTTACTCCTTCCTTCACAACATCAAATAAAGTCTTACAGCGGATTTGGCAGATGTTTCATGTAAGGATAGTGTCATCCCTCAGGCTTTTACTATTTGACTTGGTCGTCAATCCCCTTGCGTGGTGGAGTTGGTGTGCCACTTCATGTTTGCTACGGAGGAATTTACTTCATTTCATGTCTTTGCTCTTTTTATGACTTGGCACTTATTTGGTATAGACATGTAAGAGAATGCCTGATTTGTTGACATTTTCTAACATATCTTCTCTTTCCTCCCCATAGGATAAATGTGGTGGTCCAATGTGAAAAGATAAGTTTTTGCTTTCACCTTTTCTCTTTCTTCCTCGTGCAGAAGAGTAGGCTTGGTTGATTTAACTTTCTCTTTCGTCTTTATGTTGAATAGTTCAAGTCAATCAAAAGTAGCAACTTGAGCTTAGGCCCTGATCGTTACTATTAGAATCATAGCATGTGTCAGCATGATGCATGCTTCTGCACCATGCAGATTAGATCTTGGTCCAAAGAAATGGGCCTTGTTTGTGATCCGTGACACTTATAAGACTGTCTAAATTTTGGGTAGCAGGTATTTGAAATGCCAGCCTGCATCTGATATGAGTGTATGCAATAGAAGGGAATCCCCAAACGTGTGGCCCTCTAAATCTCTAGTCTCCCGATTTTCTACCCTTCTTCAACATTAATTTAAACAGCAAGTAACTCAAGATGAAGCAAAACAAGAAATTTAGAAGGAGAATTATTTGGGATAGAAGGGAATCCCCAAGTGTGTGGAATGTGCAGCAACATTCTCTAGAGAACAAAGTAAATTTCATCTGAATAAGTTCATCAAGATTAATTCCAAGTAAATGTAAATCATAGGCTGCAAGAAAAGAAAGAAAAAAAAAAGAGAGAGAAAATTGGTGGAACTAATAAATCCAAAGAGAAAGGACAAAGTTGCTTCTTGCATCAAGTACAAGTATATGGAAATGCAGATAACAAAACATGTAAAACATGGTGAAGACTCACGCATTATCGTGAAGCATATGTAAGAAATTACAACCTGAAATTTGAATAAGAAAAGGGAAGCTACCTTCAGATTCGATTATATTCTATCAAAGTTGTTATATCAGAAAATGAACCAACAAAGAATATTTAGCTACTATTTCTGTTAAGTAATTACATCACATCACAGCACATCATCTAATTTTCTGTATTCATGCCTTATCAACAATTTGCTATTCGCAAGCGCATAGATGGTTCAAGTTAGACCTAGCTTCAACAAGAACTCAAACCGCATAACTTCAACAGTCAAATTACTTGGATTATTCATGCAGAAAAGGAAAAAGAATTGGTATTCTAAGCTCAACACTCAAACATTCCAAATGCCTCGTACTATTGACAATGCATCTAGTCCAACAAAATAAGAGCGTCAGTAGAAAATATTTAAAGATATGAAAGCTTCACAAAGGAAAATCCCCTACTATCAACAGTTCCTATATCTAACTTACCACTCACTAGCAAATATCATAAATTCATTACTAGGACTGACAGCTTTGACCGAAATCTACAGATAAAAATGGAAAAAGGAAATCAACATGATAACAGAACATGCAGCTAGGAATTGACCAAAAACAGAAAATATTGGGTTTGGTTACAAAATTTACCTTGGAAGCGTTGGCAACAACTTCACTTTGAAGCTTGACGACTTTGTCCTCTGTGCTGTATGTTCCCTGCTGAGATGGAAAAAAGAAAACATTCGTTAAGTAAAAGAAGATAAAGGAAGGTTAGATACAGGAAAAGAGAGAAAGGGCAAGGATATTACGAGAACTTCAGCAAGGCCAGTGCTCTGAGCAATAACAACTTCAATGGAGGCATCAGGTTTAGGGCGCCAATAGCCAGACTCAGAGTGCATAGGCATGCCAGAATCGAGTTTCCAGGTCTTGTGAGAGTAGGCTATGACGGGCTTCCCAGACGCAGGATGGGAGAAGTTAAGCTCTTCGCCATAGCGGAAGGAGTTGATGATGGGTATCCTCCTTCGCCTTCGCCTTTCCATTTTCCCAACAAGAAGGACAGTGGCGCAACCGCTGGGTGAATTGCGCTACTCTCTTCCTTCTTCTCATTCTCCTTATCCATGGCTTTTCAAACTCTTTCACTGTAATTCTCGATGGGTGGGGATTGAGGATGATGAATTTGGCCCACCGCTCTGTTTTACCCGCCCTCTTTTTTTGTCTCACACGCGTCTCCATTTTTCTCTCTTTCTTTGGTAAACTCCACTATATCAAGAAATTAAACCATTCAATTAAAAATACTGTAAAATAAATTATTAAACTTTTAATTTAATTTTAATCAAATTATTTAGGAAAGGAAAATTATATAACGCACCTCACATATTAAAATGTATTACTAAAGCACCGTACCGAATATACTACAAATAAATTTGTCCTTATTATATAAATATTAAAAATATAAAGATTTATTTATAATTAATTTATTTAAAATTAATCATTTATTAAAATTAATTATAATTTAAACTTATATAACTTTAAAATCCTAATTCTAAACAAAATAAATTATAATTTTTTTTTATTAATTTAAGTAATTTAATTTGTTTAGAATTAGGATTTTTAAGCTATATAAGTTAGAACTGGCTATCAGTATCAGTCATCATCGGTGACCACCTTAACTCGTTGAAAAACTAACTGCAACAACATCCAGCGCTTCCGTTTGTTGTCGCCCAACATTCGATCATCTCGAAGGAGAAGCTTTTCTATTTGGATCATCCGTTTTTTCCTTTTTTTATGCATGATGACCTTCGAAGAATCATCCCCGACCGTCGCCCATTCTAGCCAGACCAACCACGACTGTTGGCTCTCGTTCATCTATAATTGTATTGCAAGTTTTAAAAGTTGGGGACCCAAATGCAAGTGTCTGAAAAGTTCAGTGACCATATTGCAAACGTACTAACGACAGTGTAACGACGTCAAACGACCGGTTATGTCTGGGACCATATTGCAAACGGACTAAATGTTGGAGGATTGTATTACAAGTTTTAAAAGTTAGGGGACCTAAATGAAAGCTTTAGAAAAGTTCAGTGACCATTACTATATTTTACCTGTTTTTATTATAAAAAAGATAGAGGACACAAACGATCCCTAAATTATATAGATTATTATTTTATTGAGTCACCGACTATTAAAAATTATAAAATAGTTCCTCAATTATAGGGAGTTATTTAGTTGAGTTCGTCAACTATTAAAAGTCACAAAATGGTCACTTAACTATATAGTATCTTCCAAACTCATTTTTTTCCATTAAAAAATTAAGGGTCGTCTAAGTTGAATATGATAATCGTTTGAGATTATGAGATTATATTTTGTCATATCTTAGTCAATAAGTTAACGTCCAACTCAGACTGCTATTAATTATTTAAATAAAAAGAACTAGTTTGAAACATAATTAATAGTCAGATGACCATTTTATAATTTTTAATAATTGAATGATTCAACAAAATAACTCTCTAGAATTAAAGGAACATTTTATAATTTTTAAAATCAAATCACGACTCGATAAAATAATAGTCTATAATCAAGGGATTATTTGCATACTTTACCTATAAATATCACTAATAGAATAATTATTCACTAAACTAACTATTAACCCATGTAAGACAAATGTTGGATGTGTCTTCTGCTGTACACGACACGTTTCGTCAATATATTAATTTTATTTTGTTTATTAAAACGAAAGTCACTAAAATTTTAAATTTAAATCGAATTTTAAATACAAATTAAAATTTACACCATACGTCCCGTCAATATATGTTAATATATTTATTTATACCAAATTATTCATTCAAATATTAGAATTAAATGATCTTTGCGGTAAAAGAATTATTGTTATTTATTAAAATCTTATATTCGAACACCATATATGTTAATAATGTGAACGTTTAATATCAAATGGTTAAAAATTATTTTTAAACATATATTATTTTATATTTAACCAAATTAATAAAAGAAATTCATTGTACCGTCCGACAAAATAAAACATATTCTATGCAGACCGGTTATTATTATCATAATTCATCAAACCTTATTTGATTTTAAATAAAATAAATAAATTACAGAAGACAAATTTCCAAGTATTTCAAGTTTTTGAAAGAATCACATATTTAGAATGTGAGAAATTTTACACATTTCTAGTATAATGATAACAGGAGAGCTTGAAACAAAATCTAAAATCCTAAGCATACAACAATCTATATGTATGTATAGACTATATTATAATAATAATAATTAATTATCATAATTATAATTATAATCGCACATCGTAATCCATCGCATTTAGAATTAATTTTTGCAGTAGTGAAGTTAAAGGGAAGATATTAGTGCAGTGCTAAAAGTATTCAAATTGTATGTAGTCAGATGAATTGGATTTTTGAGCTGCTTGATTTCCAACAAGTTCGTTATGAAGATGATGATGACCGCCATGGCTGTTCTTCTTCTCTTCCTTCGCGACCAACTGCGAGAAATCCACCGGTTCCGGTACGTGTGGCGGCATTGCGCTCCTCACCAGTGCCCAATTCACTCCTTCGAAGAACGGGTGTTGCTTTATCTCCGTTGCTCCCCTTTTGCACGCGATGCGTTTGCTCGGTTCTTTGACCAGCAGACCTCGTATGAGGTCTCGAGCCACGAAGCTCACTTGTGGGGTTTCTGGGAATCTCAATGGCTGTCCTACTACGTTGAACAATGTGGCTCGGTTGCCTTGGCCTTTGAATGGGGTCGTCCCATGCAAGAGTTCGTATAAGAAGATGCCGAACGTCCACCAGTCAACTGCGCTGCCGTGCCCCTCGCCGCGGATGATTTCTGGCGCTAGATATTCGTGCGTACCGACGAACGACATCGACCGGACGTTGGTCGGTTCGGCCATTAACTCCGGCATGGAGCCTCCAACGCAGAGGCCAAAATCCGATTTGGATTTACGGTTCTTTTTGCCATGCAAGATGCGGGGGAAGAACGTGGAGGGCTGCATGCAACCTTGCCCGGGCACTTGCTCATTATCCAAGATGCCACCGTTACCGCCGCCGTTGCTTGCTTGATGCGTGGATGAAGATTTCACCAGGGTCGGATTGACGAAGCAACGGAGGGATAGGTCGAAATCCGAGAGCATTATATGACCTTCATCTCGTACCAAAACATTTTCTGGCTTCAAGTCCCTGTATACAATACCTAGCATATGCAAATACTCTAGTGCCAGCAACACCTCTGATGCAAAGAACCTAAAACCCCAAAAATGAATCATCAACATATATATTAACAAGATGAAAAGGAAAATTAATGCCGGATTGAATGATAAAGAGTTGGACAAAGTATACGAACCTTGCAGCTTCCTCAGTGAAATGCTTGTTGGGTTGCTTTTGGCGCAAGGAATGAAGATTGCCTCCACTGCAGAATTCCATGATTAGACAATAGAATTTTTCAGTCTCAAAGTAGGAATAAAGAGTAGGCAAGAAAGGGTGGTCGAGAAGGCCAAGAATCTCTCGTTCCGTTTGAGCTCTCAATAACTTGTTTCTACTCGCCAAAGATGCCTTGTCCATCACCTTCATAGCGAAAAAAGCATTGGTTCCTCTGAGCTCGACGAGGTACACACTCCCGATATCTCCATATCCGATGCGCTTGAGAAGCCGAAAGTTGCTGAGACTGATGGGGCCTTTAGCACTCACCGAATTAATAGCGTCCCACCGCACGTCGCCACCGGTGTGCGGCCTAAGCGGCGCGGTGGTGCTCTCCATGCTATCACTTCGACTGCTGTTTCTACTCCCCGAAAGATTTGTGTTCTTTGCATCAATTGGTTTCATGTCAGCTTCCAATGGCGTCCTGGGCATATTTGCAGGAGCCATGATTTTGGGGTCGTTTTCATTCACTGGATTGTTATGTTTATTGTTCTTTTTCTTGGATTGTGAATCTGTTGCTCCTCCCGATGACTTATCACCCACCTTCATCACCAGAACAAGATTTAAGAGCAATCATCATCGAAATTCAATTCAAAACAAAACCAAACAAAAATCCAACCTCTTTTTCAGAAGAGTTGACCATCTTATTAGTTTTTGACGACATAGACCTAATCCGAAAACCTCGACTGTTTTCCTAATCATCACATAAAAAGAAAATCACCATGTTGCATGCATATCTGTGTACGTATATATATATGAATGCAGGAAACAAAAACGGAAGGGTGAGGACTAAACAGAAAGAAATAGGGAATTAATGACTGTAAATTAGATTGTAAAAGAAGTTAAGGAAGCAGCCGGCTAAGAGGAGTTTGGTAGGAAATGAAGATGGAGGAGCAGCGGCAGCACCACCCATGATAGAGATGTAAAGAGGGTGAATTAGTGTGTTAATGATGCATGTTTTATTATTGTAATGGTGATGGGGAGAGAATTGGAGGGGATTAAACTAATTATAAGAGATAACTAAAAGCCTGAACAAACCCATCAGCTAATTCAAGTGTTTGAGGATTTATTGAATGATTCACCGTTTAACCCTCACTTTTGTAATGAAATACAAAATTTGTGGTTTAGTTCATGCCAGCACTGTTTCTCTGTTATCTATTGCTATTTGTAAACAACAAATGAAGTTGGTTTTGTTCTATTATCTATATTAATTTTTTAACTAATAACAACACTTGAATAAAAATATAATAATATTACAAAAATAATATATAAAATTAGAGTAAACATCTACATGAAAGAAATAAAAAAAATTAACCAAACAAAGTAGAAAAATGATGGATGCAAATAGACTTCATCAACACTAACATGAAAATACATATAAAAATGACGACATATTGATAAATTGATTTTATCACAATTCAATCGTAATCAATCTTTGATGATTGTGAAGGTGTACCGGTAAAAGAGAATAAGCTTAATGATCTAAAGCATGAGATAATCAAATAATTGTACAATACCATATCTAATTTTGGTAAAATAGAAGACATTACAAAGAACAAACAAATAGCATGCTTCAAGAGTAAATAAATAAATAAATAGAACATTCATCGTTTCATATAAAATTAATAAAATAAAATAATTTACTTCAATATACAAAATAAAAGTATGACAAATACTATGACAAAATCGATAGAATGAAAATAGAAAGAAGAGGAAAAATCAACAATCAACCATAAAATTAAAATTGATATATCATTATCGACAATAAAAGAGAAAAAGAGAGCAACAAATCTTAGGTTAAGATTCTTCGAAATAAATAGGGATGAGTGTTCGGTCGAGTCGAGTTAATTTTTATTTTATTCAAGTTGACAAATCTTGTTTTATAACTCAAACTTCATTTGTAAACTTTTTTAGTCGAATCAATTCGAGTTATTCGAGTTTCTGTTTAAATATAATTGTAAATATTATGTTACTATTTGATTTCAATTTCTATAACCATAAATACAATACAATACACATATATTAAAATTTTCATATATCATACAAAGCCCAAGAATTCAACTCAAACTTAAAAATCAATTCACTAATTACTAAAATTTTCGAGTTATTAGACCTATTATTAAAGTTATTTGAGTTCTATTTTATAACTCAATTTGAATTTAAATTTTTTTAAGTCGAATCATATTTATCAAATTACAACTCAAAATCAACTCAAATCGAGTTGAAAAGATCAATTTTTCTAGTCAATTTTTACTCCACCCTCCTCCAAAACTACTTTCAACATCACATACTGTGACCTTATATATTTATAATAATTAATGTAAACAAACATTAATTAATTATAATATACCAATCATTTTGATAATTCAAATATTACTGTATCAGAATAAATTCTGATCATAATTAAAATGTTTATACACTATTAATAAATAATGTATTATAAGCTAATATCCTTCCCTAAAAAATTGAGGTAAATAACTTGCATTCTTTTAACAAAAAATATAAAATTCCATGATAATAATAATACGAGAAATTTAAAGTCTTTAATCTAATATGCATCATCATCATCAGGCCAGTTTCTTTTACTGAAAACATAAAATGGCTTTTGCAGAGGAATGCTAGGTCTTCAATTGTTCACATAGGGCATTCTCTTCTTGCAATCAAAATGAATTAAAGCTAAAATCAAGTTCAACTTTGCTCCATATTTCTCTTAACCTGCTGCTGCTTCATGTATATCATTAAGCACAAAAAAACCTTCCTGGAAAACTATTGCCTGTCTCTCAATTGCTAAGCAACCCTACTCATACTCGACCACTGTACAGACAGATCCGAGTTCTATGAAAACTCTTGGAGAAACTTAAACCCAGTAATATATAGAGTTGTCCATCTAATGCTCTTGGAGACACTTAAAACGCAACACCGAAACGAGTTCTATCGAGGCTTAATGGTGCACACCGTTACCATTGCTGTACACACCGTTTAATGAACCGTTCGCGGACTTTAAACAGTTACCGTTTTGCCAGACCTTTGGAAGTGCTTTTCCGGTATTTATCCCGTTTGTCACTCCGTTGCTTACATGATCGGACTTGTTTAAAAGCAAATCCAATTGCCCACATGATGCTGCAATGAGTCCTGGAGATTTACAAGAACATATAAAGTGAATTCAACTGCCAAGGTTAAACGGGTTATTTTTCAGGCGTTACTTCATGAAATAAAAGGATCGTCATGAGATATAAAACAAGCATAAGTTATATGCTCATTTATAGCTGCTACCAAATGCGCAATGTTCCAAAATATTGTGGAAACATTTTTGTATTGAATGAGAATTAGTAGCAACAAGAACAGAAACACCATCACCTTCAATTATTGCAATTTACAAAATGATCTACATGCAGTAGCATCCTTAAATTTTAACTACCAGTTATAGTGGATTTTGAAGAAAATGCATCATTAAGCAAACTAGGCACATCATCGATTGAGATAGAATAATTTAATTACCAACCAACTATGCTGCAACCAATATACACACTTTATGCCAGATTTTATGGACAAGCACCTGAGAAAAGTGCAGAAGGTTTTCCTGGCCTCGACTTGAATTCAGGATGGAACTGAACACCGATAAAATATGGGTGGCTTGGTAGTTCTACAATCTGTACAAGCCAACATACAATGCTCATAACTATAAGTAACTAAATATAAGATTAATGATCAATGCAAATGTCGCGCAAAGTCTGGGTTTTCATAGTGATATGCTATGCTATACTGTATGTAACTTACCTCCATCCTCCTACCACTTTCATCTCTGCCAACAAATGAGAGACCAGCTGCTTCAAGTTTTGATATCATATCAGGGTTGACCTACAAAGGACAGACATCATTAAGAACTTGAAATAAACCATCATCATTATCATGACATCTAATAATCTCATGCATGAGTAGACTACCTCATATCTATGCCGATGCCGTTCATCAACAAAGGTTGCATCACCATACCTAGAATAAACAACTATTAAGATAAAGAAATGATGCATCTAATATTAACCCCGAACAATCTCAAGAAGTTTGTAACATTGCATTTATGGATAAAGTTTAAGAGAGCAGTGTTCTTACAACTTGGCAGATTTGCAGTCAGGAACCTTGAAGTAAGTCCTCCTTGATCCCAGGCGCATTGTTCCTCCCATATGAGTTTTCGAACCCTGTAAAATAAATCAAACAATACGTACTATTCACTTAATGGGACAAGACACGGATTATTTATTTATTTATTGGTTGGGGGATTCAAACATAATATGCTAACAAACCTCCGGCATAAATATAACGCAAGGATTTGATGTTTGAGGATCAAACTCTTCAGTGTTCGCATCATGCAAACCAAGAACTGAGCGTGCATACTCTATGACAGCTATCTGCATCCCGAGGCAGATGCCCAGGAAAGGAACTTTGCTTTCACGAGCATATTTTGCAGCAAGAATTTTCCCTTGTACTCCCCTGTCACCAAAACCTCCAGGAACTAAGATACCATCAGCACCCTACATTAGAAGACTTTTTAGAGGTTCTTTCGAAGGAAATAGCTCAAGAGAAACTGCAGGATACAAACACAAAGAGAAAAATAGATCATTCCACATCAAGAATGGTGGTGTGAAAAAACCTTCAAACGATTCCATGCTGCTTTGTAAGCGTCAGGATCCTGTAAGGTGTAAATTATAGACATTGTGAGCATTAACTACAAAAACTACCATTAAAAAATCCATGAAAAATAGTGCCAAAAAATTTAAAACCAACCTCTTTAGCAGTAATGTCTTCAAGGTGACTTGCTTCAACCCACTCTACAATTAGCTTCCTGCGGCAGCCAACAGATGCATGCAAAAGTGCCTATCACAATAAACCTAAAATATTAGAAGCCAATTTCACTACACGCCTATTTGCCTTCTAACTTTTAGAATTTCTTTCCAATTAGGGCCTTTATAGGATAGAGTGGGTACAAGTTGTTAGGAATTTACATAAAGCAACCCTAGTTGAAATGACTTGGTAGAAAAGGCAGAAATAAATAAATGAAGAATACAGAACGAGTTGTTACGAAATGTTAGGTATTTACATGTATAATGCATACCTAGTTTAAATGACTTGCTAAAAGAGGAAGAAATAAATAAATGAATAATACAGAGATTGCATTAACTGATTGAAATGACTTGGTAAAAGGGGCAGAAGTAAATAAATGAGTAACAATGCAACAACAAGATTTCTCATATTTTTCAGAACTAATAAAGCTTTTACCTTTAAAACAGAGAGGTAAGAATCTTTAAGCCCAATGTACTTTCCAACCATGGCAATTTTAACCTGAAATGTAAATGACTGCAAAGGAATTATAATTTCCACCATATGCAAAAAACGCAGACTACTCAACAATTTAGTGATTCTTGGCACCTACAGGTTCATGAAGCTTGTCATAAACTTTGGTCCTAGTAGTCCACTCTGTTAAATCAGGCTTCTTTGCAATCCTGTAATTCAGACAAGTGTAAATATACATACCAGAAAACTACAGCCAGAACTTGATACATAAATAAGTACTCACATCAGAGCCAAAACATAAAGAAAACACGGACAACAAAATGGAGACAGATCAACTAGATAAGAAAAAAATTAAAGGGTGGATTAGAGAGTTAATAGAGCAAACCCTAGAAGGTTCAGTCCTTTCAAGATTGCTTCATGTGCCTTTTGATCCTATTCGTGATCAGAAAAATAAACAAATGAATCAGATAACAGAAATTTTCATTTCTATCTTTGAACTAAGAATGTTAGACAAAAAACCAAACTCAAAAAAGTGAACTACTTACTCTTAGTAGTAAAGGAATGTGCCAAATATTTGGAACGTCATATAGAGTGACAATATTTTGAGCCTGGAAAAAGTCATATTGCTTAATAACAGTAGTAAATAATTTAGGAGACGAAGAGAAGTCAACTAAAAGCATTCATGTGTCATTACCGGAACATGACAAAACTGAGAGAGCTTTTGCTTGACATTATCATCAAGTGCCTGATGCAAAAAAAAAAATGGGTAAGTGAATGAATAAGAAATGCCAAATCAGCATTGGTAAATACAATTGAAAAAGAGAAATAAGGGTCGAACCATTGTACTGCGACAAGCAAGAATATTTGGTGTCAAGCCAAGTCCTCTAAGTCCCCGAACACTATGCTGGGTAGGCTTTGTTTTCTGTTATTTGACTCATCAAAGCAGAAAAGTTTATTTCATGCATCATGCTTCTCTCAGTTTCATGCATATTTGCTATGGAATACTGTACACAAGACAATATAATGAAGTATCAAGAGGTACCGGTTCACCAACAACATTGAGAACAGGAACAAGGCTGACATGAACCAAACAGAAATTGCCAGTGCCTAAGAAAATAAACAAAAAGAAGTGAAATTACCATCACACAAAAAGAACAATCGAAAAGAAATTAGCATAAACTAATTAGATAAGGAGGCACAAAAGAATATTCTTACCTACACGGTAGGAGAATTGACCAAGTGCCTCAATAAATGGCATAGATTCAATGTCTCCTGGATCCAGAAGAGTTACGAGTGAGAAACAGGGGGGAAAATAACGAATACAAACACAGACTGTTGGAGTGAATGTACCTATAGTTCCACCCAATTCAATGACACAAATATCAGCCGGACCTTCCTTTCCATCAACAGGTATCTTTGCTGCACGCTCTATCCACTCTTGTATCGCATCAGTGATGTGAGGAACAACCTAGAGCAAGAGAAAAAACATAAAATTTGGAAAATGTAAGTAGCATAACACATTTAGGGAATCTTTGTTGAGAGTATAACATAACTTTTAAAACAAACCTGAACAGTCTTTCCAAGATAATCTCCCCTTCTCTCCTTGTTAATAACAGACTATACAAATCAAAAGCATGAGGTTGAACAGAGCGTTCCAAAAGCTAAAAAAACGTGGACTGAAAGAAGAAAATGATATAAGAATCAGACCTGATAAATCTTTCCTGTTGTTATATTATTGTCACTGGTTAATGTAATGTCAAGAAACCGTTCATAGTTTCCAAGGTCCAGGTCCACCTTCAAATGCATAACAAGGTCAATTTACACCATCATTAACATTTGACCATGGATGCTTTGCTTTGATTATAAAGCACGAAAAAATAAACAAAAGATATTACCTCGCCGCCATCATTGAGGACAAAGACCTCACCATGCTCAAAAGGGGACATTGTACCAGCATCAGTGTTGAGATAAGGATCTGCAAACGACATCATAACAAAAAAAAAAGTTTATTCCAAAAGTGAAAGCATTGGGAATATGAGATTTCAAAAAAGAACAAGTACCAATTTTGATGGAAGTGACACGAAAGCCACAAGATTTAAGAAGAAGACCGATGCTGCTAGCGGTAACCCCTTTTCCCAACCCGCTAACAACGCCTCCGGTAACAAGAACGTACTTCATTTTTCTCTCCCGGTTTGCCTTCTTTGAAACTAAACGAAAATGGGGAAAGGAATGAGAAAAGAGAGACGTTATTTATAGCAGTAAAACAAAAAGCAGGAAAGCAGAAGGGGCAGGGTAGCAGTGAGCTTTGGTCTTGCTCTGATAAAACCAAAGTCCAAAGCCAAAGCCAAATCCAAGGCCAAACCCAAAGCCACGAATCAAAATAAATAAATAAAAAAGGACTGGTGACGGTGTTTACTATAAATTTCGCAGAATCAAAATGAGAATCTGAAAGTTGAGCGAATGTGGATAAGGGCAGCTGGCTCCCCTCTCTGTGTGCTTATGCGTCAATGCTTGGCCTTCAACTGGAAATTTTTAACTTCAACTTCAAGGCGGCGGGTGAGGGAAAGGGATGGGAGGAAAGGGTTTTCATATTTATTATATATATACACGCGCGCTGAAGACGAAGTCACAGTTATGGATCATAATAACAACACACTATTTAGGGTTGCATGTGGATTAACAACGATATTGTTATTTGATTCCATGCTCCTGAGATTTCAAACCAGAGGCCTACGGATCTCTTATGTTAAACCATAATCATTTATACAGTTTTTTTATTCAACAACAACAACAACAACAACAACAACAAAATCCAATTCCCATATATATGGGGCAAGGGGAGGTAGGGTAATAGGCTGCCCCCAACGTCAGGTTGAGGATAGCTTCCGTGAAAGACCTCCGACAGTCAGAAAATTAAAAATATAGATAAAATGCAATGCATGTATAAATAATTACATAAATACATAGCTAAACAGTATTCATATGCAGTCATTAATATCATATGTGCTTCTGTAATGGGGAGTAATCCCTGCAAAATAATCCCTGCGAAAGAATCTCTGCATATAGACAGAAACATAAGACCGGCTAAATTTAACAGAGGAAACATGACGAGAATGATACACAGAAGACAATTATAGCAAGCCCAGTTCTAATCTTTCATAAATACCAATAACAGAAAAGTATAAAAAGTAAAAGTCATGGAAATTACTACAAATGCATTTAAAAGAAGACAAAGATGATACACCCTATAGATGTGACCCACACTACTCGACTACCCTAATCTTAAGCCTCCATAATTTCCTATCATAGGTCATGTCTTCGGTAAGGCCTAAATCCATCAAATCAGATCTCAAGCAGTCTTCCCACTTCCGCCTTGGTCGTCCTTTCCTTCTGGCACCGTCGACTGTAATCGACTCTACCCTCCTGACCGCATCCGACGGTAGTCGCCTAAGGACATGCCCAAACCACCGTAGTCTTCCTCCCTCAATTTTCGGAAACAGGCACCACCCCTAAGGACATCCTAATAGCAGAGTTTGTCGTCATATCCCACAGAGTCCTACCACATGTCCATCGAAGCATTCTTATTTCTGCGGCCTCTATCCTCCTTACGTGATCCTTCTTGGTTGCCCAACATTCTGATCCATACAACAGCGCTGGTCTTATTGCCATTCTATAAAATTTTCCCTTAAGTTTTAGAGGCACCTTATTGTCACACAAAACTCCAGTAGCAGCCCTCCACTTTAGCCATCCCGCCTTTATACGGTGTGTAACGTCATCATCTACACCCCCATCTTTATGTATCATAGACCCTAAGTACTTGAAACAATCCTTTGAGGGAAGGACGTGTCCTTCTATGCATACTTCTACATCTTCATCGTTTTGGTTCCCATTGAAGTTTGAACATAAATACTCTGTCTTTTCAATATTGATCCTTAAACCTTTTTCTTCCAAAGCAGTCTTCCAGGTAGCCAGTCTACTATTCAACTCAGATTTTGTTTCAGCAACTAGAACAATGTCGTCAGCGAAAAACATACACCAAGGTACACCGTATGGTGTCGCACAATAGATGTCGTCCATAATCAAGGCGAAGATGTAAGGGCTAAGAGCCGACCCCCTGGTGGAGTCCGATTTCCACCGGGAATGCCTCGGTGTCGCCAACTGTAGTCCTGACGTAAGTAGTAGATCTACAGTACATATCACGAATCGCCCGGATATAAGCAGTTGGTATCCGTCTCGTTTCCAAAGTCTTCCAGATCGTATCGCGAGGAACGCTATCATAAGCCTTCTCAAGGTCAATGAACGCCATGTGAAGATCTCTAGACTTTTCCCTATATTTCTCCATAAGCCGTCGAAGTAGATGAATCGCTTATATTATGTTTGTGTTTAAGTTAATAACTAATAATTACAACTCAACTGATTTTTTTTAATTAATATCAATTTAAATCATCTTATATACCTAAATATTTTGAAACTATACGAACCGATTAACTCCCGAAATTTTTAGATTTTATTATTTTTAAGGTCTTTATTAAAATTTAATTAAATAAATTAATGTCCTCTATTTTTTCAGTTTAAATATTTGTTAAATTCCTATCGATTCTTATACTAGACAAAATAAGCAACATTCTCATCGTTCTCATTTAAAAATTTCTTAAATGCTGTCAATTTTAAATTAAATACAACCAACCTTAATTTTTATTTTAACTTAACTATTTTTGTTACTTCATCCCTATTATGAATGAAGTAGAATTTATAACATCAAAATCTTTTATTTGAAAAGATGGTTAAATCGAACTTATTTCATTTGCAGAATGTATGTATTATCAATTGATTAAGAATATTTTAAACAAATATCACTTTTTTATTCATAAAAAAAACTTTCCTAAAAAATTTAAACCACCTTAAATTATTTTATCAAGATATGTTGAAAAAAATTAGCCTGTGGATATGTATGATTTGAATAATTTTTTCCCAGCGCCACGATGCAGGGCATGAGGGGTGTGTGGATAAATTAGAGAGGTCGAAGGGTCATCATCTCAAAGGAATCTTTAAAGCCTGCCGTTGGTAGTTTCAATGAAACCAACTTTTTGGACTGTTTTTGAATAACCAAATTCAAACATAATAACCGAAAAAACCGAGTCATCATCCACCCCTCATTTTAGGCTTAGTATTACAAACAAACAAGAACAAGGAAGAAAAACGCAGCTAATCACTGACTAATCTAAAAGATAAGCCTAAGCCCTAAGCCATTGTCGTTGTCCTTGTCTTTGCTGTGCTCTCTTCGTGTTTTGTAATTAAATCAGTCATTTTTTACATTATCCCTTTCTTCGGTTACGCCTTTCCCTCCTTTTTTTTAACTTTACGCTGTTGACATCTTCCCCCGCATTTGCGCCTCTCGTGTAGGGTTTACTTTGGCCAGTAATTCAAATTAGATTCGGATCATAATGGAAAAGGCGGGAGACTCAATTACTCTGTTTATTTTATTCGTCCAATTCATTTCTCTTTTACCCAATGTTGGTGGTTATGTTATAACCGTTTACTTTTACATTACATTTATTCTATGTTAGCTTCATCCCACTTCTTTTTTTATTAATGCTTTTTCTAAATTTCTATTAAAACAAAAATAATGATTTTCTAAATTTAATACGGTGAATATAAATTTAAATATATATAATTTGTATATATGGAATGTTAAGTTCATGTTATTTCTATTTACATTTTAAATATGTTGATGGGTGAGATTACGGTAGATTCTGAGGGTTTATCTCTTTTGATTTAAACGAAAAGTTATAAATTATTGTTCGGAAAAATAGAGAATAGACAAGTTGACAAAGATTATAACCGTCGAGAAAGAGTGAGAGAGCATCCTTTCCTTTTTTTTCCAGCCTTGCATGATAATTTATATGTATATACTTATTGGTGTGATGACTATAATTATTTATAGTCGGCTAAAATAAATAGATATGATTGTCCTATAGTATATTTGATTGGTAAATTATGTAAATCTATCAATAGTCATGTCAATAGACTATAGATGACCGAATGACATAGAACTTTCGAAGGTTAGAAAAAATATGAGGTTCGTTAGGCAAAAGAAAAATAACGAAAATGTGATTTATCGAGTAGATCTAACAAAATAAATGCATAAAAGAGTATTGTATAAGAATTTTAATCAAATATTTTAATATTTATTATAATATTTTTATCCTTCTAAAACTTATTTTAAACTATCACGTTTGGACGGGACAAACAGTAATAAAACTCAACATTATTAATTGAGATATTTAAAAAGTTTTAAAGACCAATAATAAATTATATAATTATGTATTTTTTTAAGGAAATAAAGAACCGTTTTACCATTATTTTAACTTAAAATTTCTTAAATTTTAAATATTTTTGGGACCATCACCCCACAGATACCTTCTGCCTTCTGCCATTGGCTAAATAATATCTTTTCAGAAGGAAAAAATATCACCTAACCTCTTTCAGGGCAAATGGAAGTGAAATATTAAATAAAAGGTAAAATGGGACGAATGAGATGAGATTGTGTAGACCCCATTGCTGCCATGTTACCAACACATGGTTGTTAATGTGGTTGGGGGGAAAATGGTGGTACCCAATCGCACCAAAGTGCCATTTTCAATATTTGCTGTGGTAGTTGCTTAATTACATTGTGACCCTACCCTCGCAATTCATGTCAAAGTCATAAACATCTTTAGCACAAGTTTTTCAAACTATTATCGAGCGACACATGCCCTAATCAAAAGTACGTTTAGCTGCAGTTAAATTCATAAGAATTGAAGAATATAATCAAAACGTATAAATTATATACGAATGAAATTGATTGTCGGATTTCAAACACAGAGACAATGAATTACTGTATTCTTGGTAGTGCAAGGTTCTCCTGTGTGGATTCACGTTCCTGCTTAAATGGCAGTGAAAATAATGGTTTTTATTTGTTGTATTGAGGTGAAGTTAAGAATGACTGAAAACGATACATTTGAATGAAGCGGTGCATGTGAGTTGGTGATTGGGTATTGTGCAGTCCTGCAATTTTGAAGGCACATGGTTTTGCACCCCAAACTGCAATGGTAAGTTTAGCCTAACATGGACTTTGTCGGCTACTATCATGCCAATGTTTCTCTTTTTCTTTTTTCTTTTCCCTTGACAATATATTAGCGAGCTTTGTACGCCAATTTTGTTTGACTATGGTCGGGGTGCACAGATTTAAC